GTGCGTCAAGAAAATGGCGGCAAATTAGAAGTGGGCGTGTCGCCGGTGACAAATCTGGGCCGCGCAACAGTCGCTCTGTGACAGGGGCGGACAGTTTGATCATCATCAGTTTGTTGTGTTGGCGCGGGGAGGGGGGAGGAGGTGGGGGTTGGGGGGGTGGGGAGTTGAGAACACAACGCTTTTTCACACAGATAGTGACGACGCTTTTGTTTGATTTTGGTCCTCTTGTCGTTCTTGTAGGAGTGGAACGCCATTCTTGGAAGTTCGTTAGAGTTTTAAAGACACATGATGTAATTCAAATTTCAAAGTATGTTTCCCAAGAGTAATTTCTGCAAATTCTTTGAATGTTTGTCATACTACAGGGGCTACAAATATGTATATTCCTGTAATTCTGTAACGTTTGTTACGCAATTTGTTTAATTTTGGTCGTCGTTCTTGTAGGGGTGGAAGGAACGCCGTTCTAATCAGAACTAGATCCAGGCCATTCTTGGGAGTTTGCTAGAGTTTTAAAGACACAAGATGTAATTCAAAGTATGATGAAGCCCAAAGTAATTTCTTTACATTCTTCAAATGTTTCTTGTAACTCTGCAACCTCTGTTATCGTTTTAATGGCCTTATATGTACTAAATGTAACCTACATTTCTGCAAGAGTTAATCCTACTACTACAGACGCACTGTCGAGTGGAAAGGTAACTGTAATATAATCAAACTAACAATAGATTTCATCTTGTGTATAACCTCTGGGCGCTTTGCATCGATGGCACGATAACTGAAAATAAACCTACCACATACAATTTAAAAAACAACTTTTCATATAACCAAGAAAACCAGCTGAGCCACATAAGGAAGAGCTGTATGTCTCCGCAATACATTACTCATAGACACCTAGACCTACGGACACATCAGCACCTGCATACACAATCCGACTTAACTAAAGCAAATCGCTACCTCAGAATTACAACTGACGTTTTGAGGTACTAAGACCATGGGGTCAGAAACCAAATGTGAGGCAGCGTGGTGGAATCAGGCTCTCGTCAAAATAATAAAAGTGAAGAGACTTGCATTTTTCCGCAGTTTGTGAATTTGTATCAATTTTTTGGTGGGGGCTCAACACCTTTCATGCCCATTAAAGAACTCATTTCTGTGTAGATTTTTCTTAAAAACGTTGATTAAAGGCACAAAAAATAAAAATTTCCAGTTATCACGTACTCTTAAGCTAAGGAAATAACTAATCTTTGGATGAAATTTTCTCATTAATTTTACCTCTGAAAACAAATGACCCCCACCCCTTTCATTCGCAAATATCTTGACTTGTATTCAAGATAAATGGATATTTTTTCATCCAAATAAAGACAATTGAAAAAGCTTTAAGATGCTATCAATAACTCTACATGCACAAAAATTGACGAGAGCCTGATTCCACCACGCTGCCTCACAAATGTCCAATCTGCTCTATCAAAATCGTAAGATTATTCGGAGTCTTATCAAGATATTCAAAGAATTGCATTGGATAAAGCTTGACATGTTGAGGACCTCAAAATTGATGACGTCAAATTTCCCAAACTGGGTACTGAGCAGATAGAACTTTGTAATTATGAGGTCGCAAAATTAGTCTTAGACAATCGCTTGAACGTATATGGATGACGTGTTGTTTCTTTGAGGTCCTGGGGCAAGGAATCCCAGATTATAGGGGGGGGGGG